TTTTGTTCTAATGGAAGCAAACCATGACATGGAGCATCGGCCAGCAGGAAACAGCTGCATCTTCAGGTTATCCATCAGTCACAAACCAATGAGCTTGTTTATACCAGTTCTTTGATTTTAGCAAATAATAGCACTGATAAGTAATGTTGGCATTAAAAAAAAAAAAAAAAAAAAAAAACATTTTTGTTTGTTTATTTTTTGTGTGTATGGGGTGCATTTTAATGCAGTATACATTAAACCAGTCCATCTAAGCATTTATTATTTTAATGGTGAACTATTATAAATTCTTTACTAACTTAAGAGTCTACAAACTGTAGTTAAAAGCCTTCAGCTGATCCAAAATGCTAATGAAACTTAAAAAAGATTATATATAACCTGTTTTAGCTTCCCTTCAGTGGTTTTCTGTTAAATCCAGAGTAAAAGTTTTAATTCTCCTTCTGACATATAAAGCCCTTAACAACCAAGCTCCATTGTAAATCAGATCTAATTGTACCTTATGTTTGTAGGACTCACTCCTCCTCGAAGATTTAGTGATAGCAGACATTCACTTTTATTTTTTCATTGACTCTGCAACAATCCCTCACACTGAGCGGAGCAAAAACTCACTATTAACAGGAAAATTCCTCCACCAGAAACAGCTGTATTGTACAGTATGAGGCCTTCTGCACTGGAAAATAATCGAAATCTAGATGAGTATTTTTTTTTCTTTGCCAATGGAACTTGACAATTTATCTTTAAGATAAGAAAAAAAGAATTGCATTGTCTTATTTCAAGTGCTTATTATCTAATTTTCTTATTTTAGGAGTAAAAATACTGATTCCATTGGCAGATCATCTTATTTACCTACTAAAATTAAGGGTAAATACACTTAATCTAATAAATGTTGACTTACTTCTAGATCATTTTTGCAGTGTTCCAAGGCCGTCTGGGGAATCCAGACATAAGCAGACACACTAAAGGAACATAGAAGCTGATCTATAAATATGTTCTGATAGAGAAGGTAATGAATAATAATAAAGATTGCATATATCTCACACAGTGGTGATGTAAATAACATAATTTGCAGCTTTTGTAGTTACTGTGAATGCACTATGATCTTCCTGAAAAAAGAAGAAAGCAAAAGATGTTTGTTTTTTTCAATTTTTTTGGCTAAAATACAAAGCTTTGAGATAGGAAAGCATTCTTTAACATCCCAGGATAACCATCTAATAATAATGGGGAAAGAACAAACGCAGCCTTACCTATGATCATTAAATCTCAGGTCTTAAAATTCATTCTCACACTCACACTTCAGCTATAGTTGTCAATATTTGGGTTATCTGGTCTGGATTTATTGAGACGGTTGCTTTCAAGCATTTTCTGACTGGATTTGAACTGTGAGTGAACTCTTGTCTGCAGATCTCTCTGCAGATGTTCATTGAGTTTTAAGTCTGTGTTTTACCAGATGGATTAAGGTCACTGGTGCGTGAAAAGGTGAACAGCAGTCATCTCCATGTAGAGCTGGGTTTTCCATTTTTAAAAAGAAAACGACCAACCTTTCTATTTCCAGCTGCATTCACTACTTCATTCATTCCCTATCGGAGTTTAATGAATTTGATGCTACTGCTGTACCTCAGACAAAAGAGGACAGAAAACTCCAATATACTGGGAGGGATATGCAAATAAAGATTTACCCAATAAAAAAATGAACATGGTTTAAAGTGGAATTTGATTCAGATTTAAAAATAGTTCAAGGTAAATCATCAGATTATAATTTTTGATATAAAATGAAGGAATATGACTTTTTTGATTGACGACATTACCAAACAACACAGCTTTAAGCATAATAATCAATGACTGGAAAATTTTAAGACCTCACAAAGTTAATGATCTCCTTTAATATAGTATACTATCATGATATTAAGGTTCTGTCACATTTTAGTGTTTTTAATTATTTTTTTTTTTTTTATATCTTGACACATTCCTGTGTTGGTTTACATTTTATTAGTTGTGGTACATTCTTTTATGCATCTTGTTCCCTCACAGCTGCTACAACTTTCCATCCATTACTCATTCATAAAGTAACACTTAAATTATGTATTCATTCAATGTTTATATTGAAAGAATGATACATAATGACAACAAAGGGCCTTCAATTATGAGTGTTATTTTTATTGAAAGATGCATGTTAAAACAAAACTAGCAAGAAGATCAATCAGTTGCAGAAACTTTAAGAAAACCCTCTTATTGAATTGTAAAGACAGCAAATGTTTTGTGCGGTTGGTTATATTGAACTACTCTGAATATCTGAGTGAAAAAGGTCAGTGAACTGAAAAAGTTGATCAGCGACGGGAGACCGCATGAAGAACAGCAGAATACGACGGGCTGTTAAGCTAAAATACTTTAAAATGGAGACCAAATCCAGAAAAACAAAATTAATTTAAAATGTCTTAAAGAAAAGGCTGAATCAATGTGAAGGCTGGCCTTTGGTAAGAAGTGGTCAGTCAACATTAACTGCAGCAGCAAGAACAATGGTTTGAGGTCATTAAGGGAAGTTCATATCTCCCCAAAGCAGCTGCTGTCTTTTTCATATAGTTCCTGTTGAAAGCATCACCTCTCAACACGTCTTAGTGAGGTTAACAAGCTGCACCACAACTGGCAGGAAGACACTATAGAGAGGAAGAAAGTCAGCTCAGGACATTAAAACACCAAGACGCTGCTTCTCTCACTGTTGGACCTTTATTACATCCGATGACTGAGAATGCCAACGATAATCGTGGAGACTGCCTCATCCAGAACTTAATCTGTTTGAGATGCTGCTGCCAGGAAGGGATTATAGATAAATTTTTACATTTAATGTATCTATCCTAAAAACTGCCTTTAAAAGAATATAACTGCAATCAGGAACACCATATATGGTAACTTTATTTAGCTGCGCATGTCTAACATTTCAAAAGTTCCTGCATTTTGCATGTTAAGTGTTTAAGTTATGGACAATGATTCTATGATTAAATGCTTGAGAGCGTGAAAGGAACTTCCTCCAGAGGGTTACTTTGCATTGCCATAAGCTGCTGGCCAAGTTTTTTTAATGTTTAATGCTTAAAACCTTCACCCATTCACGCACACACTTACAATGGTGGCAAACTATATTGCAGCTACAGCTGCCCTGGGACTCACTGACAGAAGCAAGGCTGCAGAACAGAGGAGACACTGGGACCATCAGTGGGCCATGCAGGTGAGGGGTCTTACCCAAGGGCAAAATGACACTGAAAGCCGGCGCTTGAAGCTACAACCCTTCGGTTGCAGGGCAAACTCCTACATCCGACGCCACTGTCACCCCATACTCCAATAGCGTGTTGTAACTGATGCGTGTGAGTGAAAAGTGTGTCCCAATTGCTCCACCTCCTATGCACCCTTCAGCAATACTTCAGTCAAGCACATACCTAAGTGGATTTCATTGAAGTTTATTACCCATAATCTATGACTGCATTTGACGCTTTGAGCAAAAAGGTGGAAATAATAGCGATGATCCATCTCTTTTTCCTTGCAATGTGATTATTTTAGCACCCAGACCTCTCTATCATTCATCTACTTTCAAAAGCAGATCCATGCATTTACAAAAATATCTACCCATAATTCTTCTACACATGCTTTCTGTTTTATGGAACCCCTAGGTCACATTTTACAACAGTAACTTTCGTAAAGGATAGGTACAGTAAAAGAACAGTGTTTGTTAAATATTTACAAAATTGATGCTTTTCTTTTCAACATTCAACCAACCAAAGTATACATTAACTTAGATCTACTAAATGACAATATAATAGAATTTACTTAGCAATACCTCAGCCCTTAATTAATTTAATTAAATACAATGTTTTTATCTTAAATTCACATTGTCCTCACCAATATTGAATATGAATGATTAAAACATATATTTGACAATGCATATAACATTTATCAATTAATCAGTCACTAAAAAACAGTCTCTACAATTATTATTAAAGAAAGAGGATCTCATATGGAAACACCACATTTAGTTATCCTTAACATTACCCAATTTAAACGTGCTGAATGGCCCATTCCTCTAAGGTTAATAAAACACTCAAATACCCTACCAAATATACCTTGATACTGAATTATATATATACATATACACATATATACATATATATATACATATATATACATATATACACACATATATACATATATACACACATAT